TGATTTAGCTCTTGTTTATCTTGGTGTTCCTTTCCCTTTGTTGATGTAAATATCGGATAATGGTATACATTTTTTGTGTTGCTTCTTCTTTTCCTTTTTCTTTATTTAATATCATGTTTTATCATCTTGCATTGGTACAATGGTTTTCTTTGTTTATCTCAAAACAGCAACACGCAACTTTACATTTGCTTCAAACACCATTGCCCATTCTCCGAGAGAGGGGGCCGGAGGCAGGGGGCGAAGCCCTTACGGATAACAAGAACAGCTCACTCCCCCCTCTTCCAATAGGAATGGAATCGGGAATCCTCCGCCCCTCACTTCCTCTTTCCCATACGGAAGCCCAACAAGAACACAATCGGACTGAAATAAGAATCTCTCCTTCTCCCTTCCTCCTCCACCAATAGGAATACACTCGGTAAGCAATACAATGAGAATGCATTCGGGATTTCTCAATATATCACTCCTCCCCCTCTTGCGATAAGAATACAACCGGCCTGGCAACCGATGATAGAGATGCAGAAGTAATCATCAGGAAATCCATTAACATAAAAAAATGGTTGTAGTCATACAAACAAGCGGTCGCACAGGGGTACCCTTCCAAAACCAGGGTTGGTTCTTAACTTTCATCCCAGCGATCCGAAAGGTTGGTTCTTAACTTTCACACCAACGATCCGAAACCAAAGTTGGTGGATTCCCCATCACTCGGCGATCAGCGTCTGGCTGCCAGGCATCGCTCGCACGGTGTGGTACCGCAGCGTCCTCGCGGGCACGAGAGATAAGGGGCGAGTGCGAGGAGATGTGTGGAAGCCCAGCAGGAGAACAATGCGGCCCTTCTCCTTCTCCTCCTTCTTTCCCTCATCCTCCTCCGCCTCCTCGTCCCACCCTCCTTCCCCCCATCCTTCTCCCTATCCTCCCTATGCTCGTGCCCCTCCTCCCTCTCCTCCCACGTGCCCCACTCATCCTGCTGCTGCTCCTCCCTCTTCCTCGTCCTCCGCGTCGCTTCTTCCTCCGCCACGCCTTCCCATTCTTCCTCATCTCTCTCCCCCTTCTTTGACACGGTGCCAGGTCCAGGTGCACCTGGGCGCTCGCTGGCAGGCCGGCCTACTCTTCCTGCTGCTGCCCTCCACTCCTCCTCCCCTGTGGTGCCACTGGACCCCCTGGCGGCTTCCGAAGGCTGTCCCGGGCAGGCCCTCGGACACCGTCACGGAGTCCTTGGCCCAAGGAGGCTCCCGAATGCCCGGAGGCGGCCTGGTCCTGCAAACTATTGCCCCCCAAATGCTGCGCTGGTCTTCCTTCTCGTCCGTCTTCTCCTGCAGAACTGCTGCTCCTTGTCCTCCTCCTTCTCCTCCTCCTCCTCCACTTCCTCTTCTTCTTCCTTCTTCTCCCTCTGCGTTTCCCTCCCTCCATCCCCTCTCTTTGTCATTTGTTTCTCCCTCTAGCTCTCTTTCTATATTTCTATCTCCTGCTCCTCCTTCTGCTCCTTCCCCTTCCTCTGAAGTGGAGGAGGAGGGGCAGTAGCATGAGGAGACGGATGCAGGACGTGATGGATGGAGGGAGGAGGAGGACGAGGAAGAGGAGTCACAGCGTGAATTCTGCCACTGGGAACCCGCACAATAAGCCCAAATACTGAAAACAGATAATGTGCATTGGCCCAGGGCCCGTGAGTCCAGCGGCAACCCCTGTGAGCCCACGATATCGAAGGCACCCTAGCAGCAAACACGCGGCTTCTGGATGTGCGCTCCAGCTGTGCAAAACGTGAGTGCGTGTGTGTGTGTGTGTGTGTGTGTGTGTCTGTGTGTGTGTGTGCGTGAGTGGGCTACGCCAGGTGGAACTCGACGACGCGTGGCCCCTTCTTCTGTCGTGGGGCGCTTT